GTCAAACCAAGGAATAAAAAAAGAATGTGGAAGCAAAAAAAAAAAAAAATACAAACTACAATGGTAAAAACAAATTCAGATGCATCAGCAATCTCATTAAATGCACATGAATTAAACTCCACTATTAAAACACAGATTTTTCAGAATGGATCTTAAAATTTTAGCTCTATGCTACCCAGCAGTCACTTCATCTTTTCCACTCTTTACTGTCTCCTGGTGAGGGGGAGAAATCAGATGTCATGAGGTAATTCATTCCTACTTTAAAAATGAATACAAACCAGGTGAATGACACTAGATAAATGATACCATTTGGACTCTAAGTAGCTTCTTTAAGACCAGTTGGGGCCCCAAACCACATGCCAACCCCCATTGGCCTATACTAGCTACAGCCTCCACTGGTATGGCTAACCACACTGTCTAACATGAAGTAGGAAACTGCTTTTAAAAAGAAAAATTCAAGCCTTAATATACACCAAAAACACCTCAATAATGCCTATGTTAAGAGCTGCTTTTACTCACCACAGGGCCCCTGGCTGCACTGGTGCTCTCCTGCTGAGGCATGCCACACAGTACTGCAGGAGTGATGGAACCTTGATGCTCTCTCCTCTTTCAGGTTTGCGTCCCCTAGTATCAGCCTTCTCTAGACTTATAACAAACTTTTCAGGCTTATGGCCATAGCTTAAAATCATTTAAAATTTAACAGAATAGAGATTCCAGAAATGGACCCTCAACTCTATGGTCAACTAATCTTTGACAAATCAGGAAAAAAAATCAAATGGAAAAAAGACAAGTCTCTTCAATAAGTACTGGGAAAATTGGACAACTACATGCATAAGAATGAAAATGGACCATTCTCTCACACCATACACAAGATAAACTCAAAATGCATGAAAAACCTCAATGTGAGACGGAATCCATCAAAATCCTAGAGGAGGACATAGGCATTACTCTTTGACATCTGCTACAGCAACTTCTTTCAAGACATGTCTCCAAAGGCAAGAGAAACAAAAGCAAAATGAACTTTTGGGACTTCATCAAGATAAAAAGCTTTTGTACAGCAAAAGAAATAGTCAACCAAACTAAGAGGCAACCCATGGAATAGGAGAAGATATTTGCAAATGACATTACAGATAAAGGGCTAGTATCCAAGACCTATAAAGAACTTATCAAACTCAACACAAAAAAATAAATAATCCAGTCAAGAAATGGGCAAAAGACACAAACAGACACTTCTCCAAGGAAGACATACAAATGGCTAACAGATACATAAAAAAATGTTCAACATCACTAGCCATCAGGGAACAATTCAAAACCACAATGAGATACCACCTTACACTAGTTAGAAGGGCAAAGATTAACAAGACAGGAAACAACAACTTGTTGGCAAGGATGTGGATAAAGGGGAACCCTCTTACACTGTTGGTAGGAATGTTAACTTGTGCAGTCACTACGGAAAACAGTATGGGGGTTCCTCAAGATGTTAAAAATAGAGCTTCCCTATGACCCTGCAATTGCACAAAGATACAGATGTAGTGAAAAGAAGGGGCACCTGTACCCCAATGTTCATAACAATAGCCAAACTGTGGAAGGAGCCAAGATGCCCTTTAACAGATCAATGGATAAAGAGGGTGTGGTACATATCTATACAACGGAATATTACTCAGCCATCAGAAAAGATGAATACCCACTATCTGCATTGATAGGGATGGAACTAGAGGGGATTATGCTAAGTGAAATAAGTCAAGCAGAGAAAGACAACCATCATATGGTTTCACTCATATGTAGAACATAAGGAATAGCACAGAGGGCCATAGGGGAAGGGATGGAAAACTGAAGGGGGAGAAATCAGAGAGGGAGATGAACCATGAGAGACTATGGACTCTGGGAAACAAACTGAGAGTTTTGGCGTGGGGAGGGGAATGGGGTAGCTGGGTGATGGGTATATGAGTATTAAGGAGGGTATGTGTTGTAATGAGTACTGGGGGTTATATGCAACTAATTAATCACCGAACACTACATCAAAAACTAATGATGCACTATGCAGTAGTTAACTAAACATAAACAACATTTAAAAATCAAATTAATCAATTAATTAATTAAAACACCAGCACTTCCTCCAATTAGTTCTATCCAGAAAGAGGGTGACTTTGAAAGTAAGAGTCCTAATGTCTAAGTCAGCCATGCCATACTTACAATCAAAGGAAAATTGTTCCCAGTCACCTCTGCCATAAGCAGGGAAAGATTATAATTCTTGGTATAAGGCAAGCTGATTTAGAGAAAGGGAAAACTGAATATCTGGGGACCCCAAACAGGTAACTCATCTGGTAATTATTGTCATTCTAAGGCATTAACTCCTTCACAAAAAAGCACCCACAGTAAAATTATCTAGTCAAGAATTTCTTAAAACCCCTCCTATGGGCTCAAGCCTCCTGTGTGTTAAGCCTAGTTCTGAGCAAGAATCATAAAAAATATACATCTCTGAACATGCTTCAGAGTAGGAAGTTCACCTATCTCATACTGAACACTCTGGCTCCTCTCAGGAACTTTGCGATTGCACCCAATAAGGGTGCCCCTCTCCAGCCCTCCCCACCCCCCAACACACACACACACACCTATACAATTGTTCTCTGCCTACAATATTGTTGTCAGACTTTCTGTGTTTTTCTTTTTCCCAAACCTTTGGAAATGAACTCTGGTCCAGAGGGCTGAACTCATTGTTTTTGTATAATTGCTAGTTTTAGCTCTTTACTTGGTAACTGATTAAATCCTTAAGTCAGTATTATCCTAAGATCATCCCCATATTTTAATTTGTATTACAGTCAAAACTTTTTTTTTTTAAGATGGGATGGGGAGGGAGACAAACCATAAGAGACACTTAATCTCACAAAACAAACTGAGGGTTGCGGGGTTGTGGGGGGACAGAGAGGGTGGCTGGGTTATGGACACTGGGGAGAGTATGTGCTATGTTGAGTGCTGTGAAGTGTGTAAACCTGGCGATTCACAGACTTGTACCCCTGGGGCTAATAATACATTATATATTAATAAAAAATAAAATAAAACTTTTTTAAAGATTTTTTTTATTTATCTATTTATTCGAAAGCAAGTGAGAGAGAGAGAGTGATTGAACATGGGGAGGAGGAGGGGCAGAGGGAGAAGCAGACTCCCTGCTGAGCAGGAAGCCCGGATATGGGATGTGAGGCTTGATCCCACAACTCTGAGATCATGACCTGAGCCGAAGGCAGACATTTAACCGACTGAGTCACCCAGGTGCCCCAAAACTTTTTTTTTGAAGCTTAACTAATTGGAATTATTCAAAACAACAATTTTTTTTTGTTTATTTAAATTCTTACTTTAAAATATAGACTCACAAGAAGTGGACATTAAGAACTGTGAGAATTATGGCACATTAAGAATGAAAGCTCAAAATCGAAATAAGTCAATCAGAGAAGACAATTATCATATGATCTCTCTGATAGGAAGAATTTGAGAGGCAGGATTGGGGGTTGTGAGGGGTATGGGGGGAAAATGAAACAAGATGGGATCAGGAGGGAGACAAACCATAAGAGACTCTTAATCTCACAAAACAAACTGAGGGCTGCTGTGGTGGGGGGATAGGGATAGGGTGGCTGGGTTATGGACACTAGGGAGGGTATGTGCTATGATGAGTGCTGTGAAATGTGTAAGCCTGACGATTCACAGACTTGTACCCCTGGGGCAAATAATACATTATATGTTAATTTTAAAAATTAAAAAAAAAAGAATGAGAGCTCATTTTTGTTTTAATCAAAAATGTATTTATCTGTATTATATTGAATAGAATGATTGAAAACAATGAGCATGTACACATCTAGTATATGAATGCAAATGCATATCTGAATATGAGGAATAAAACAGTAACTTAAAAATCCTAATATTAACGACAGATGTATCACTTAAAAGCAAGCAGAGTATAGTAGAGATTCATTTAGCTAAATATGAAGAGTTTAATAAAAGCTATTTAATATTTAATTTAGAATCTCATAGGCATAAGTGAACTTCCTGAATAACTATGCTATTTACTGAAATCATAGAAAGTAAGGGTGGAAATCTTCAGCCATGATTTTCAAGGATATCTCTTCGTGAACTACAAATAGGCAAATTCCCTTCTGAGAAAACAGAAATTATATAAATACATGAGATTCAGTGGAGCCATACTCTCCCAATGCATAAATTACTATCTTGAGAGTCAGACAGGCATCAGACAAGAGTTAACTATTTTAAAATATCAGTGCTCATGATGCAACCACTGCTGCTATCTAATTTTGTCAGTTTAGGGTTGAGGAGAGCTATTAAACAAAATGGTATCCAACACGCTCTGTTATAGGTGACCAGAAGTTAAGTCAAAGAGGGGAGGTAACTTGCCCAAAGAAAAACAGTAACTGAAATGTAAATAAAACTCAAATATCCAGCCCCTAACTCAGAGCTCATTCCATAAATTCACCTTGTCTTTGAAGTGACCGGTTATGACAGGAATCTGTTGTATTAGTGCTGAACAGATTTATTAAATACAAAACAGAAGCACAACCTATTCTGAGAAATTTTTCTCCCCAACAAGACAGAGAAGACTCCCAGACAAACTGAAGAATTTAACTTCCTAAACCATCCTCTATGCTTAAAGGAGAAGTAACAGGAGAAAAGAAAAACGTCTTACCCCTTGAATTAAACAGAAAGGTAAAATTCAAAAGATTGACATACCCTCTAAAAGTAGAAGCCAGACGAAAAGAATTTATATTGTATAGCAAGTAACTAACTCTTTCTCAGGAGGGATGATCCTTCACATCGTAAACTGTAAAAATCTTAATGAACTCCTGACATGTTGGGTCAGAAAATCAAGAATGACTTCAGCTTCTACTTTTCTTCCCTAAAATAATCGTTACTTCACTAGCTCTCCATGCCAGGTTATGGGTGCCCACAAGCACACGCGCACACACACATACATGCATGCTTTACAAAGTACTTACTGAGCTGTAGAGATAGCCTTCACCATTCATGGCCACATAGAGGCTGGCCTTCACCCCTTGGATAGCCACCACACGCAGGCCCACAGGAATTAGATTGAAGAGGGCTGGAGAGGAAAAAAGAAGACAGGAAAAATAGTGACCTTTTGAATAAATCATCCTGCTTCTTAAGATGACTCTTTTGAGAATTAAAAACAATGCATTAAAATTAGTAGGGAGAGAGAGGGAGACTGAAATGAAAACTGGCTTCTTGTCTCTGCATCACCTTTAATCACCCATGTGACCCCAGGTAAATCACATAAACTCCTCTGTAGCAAACGGGTTACATTCCATTATAATGTCTCAATGGGCCCTACAGTTTTATTTCTCAAAACTAGCACATACCAAACAGTGTAATATGATTTTTTCAAACAAACGAATAATTTTGAACCAAAACATTTTCAACAGTAGAAAATGTAACTGCAGACATAAGTAATTAGAAAATATGATCTTTATAACTTATCCCACGGTGTCTTGCTTTCAGATTTTTCTCCATAGTCCTAAGCATTGTCTTGAATAAAGAAGATATAAAAATCACTGGTTCATTCTTAGCTACATTGGTGGAATGAGAGCTTTTCTTTTTATAGTTCAATTCCTTTACATGTAAAAGTAGATATATAAAAAGATGGACCAGTAATTGATAGCTTAAGCTCTAATGAACATATTTTATACCTCAGAATATGTATACACACATATGTATATAAATGTGCATAAAACCACTAAAACCATTAAAAATTAACCTGTTAAATTTAACTCAATAAGATGAAATGGAAACCTGCTTGTAGTCTTTAAGTATTTGGGTTGTCCATCCCTGAAAATATTCAACAGTCTACATGTCTACTTGGAGAAGGTACTCAAGCACCAAAAAGAGAAACAAGAAGATAATCTATTTTTCTTCCAATGATGTATTTTTTTAATGAATTCTATCTCCCTAGCACTACTCCAGTTGCTACTGTTGCAATTATAAAATGAGCATAAGCATAAAACATTGCCCCTTCCATGAAAGAATTCATATTACATGAGGGAAGAAAGTAATCCTTTAGGCTCTACAGAAGACAGCACAGCTACGGACAAAATACCTCACAGCCGCATGCATAAGAGCATATAACTGCATATGGTTTAGTTGGAAGTCTTTATCCCTCTTTTTTGCTGATACAATGTCCATCAGTTCTGGTCATCTTCTTAGTTTTGAGTGTAAAATGTATGAAAATCCACCCAAGCGCTACCTGGAATGCTTGTTTATTTTTGGCTTCTCTCAACTTGGGATGGTAAGCTAAACAACACACACACACACACACACACACACACACACACACACAGAGTATTTGGCTTTCAGTCAAATGGTCATCCGATAGCTTTAAAGAATCAAGCCTGTGACCACAGGTTTACTACAGCAGATTTTAATTCCTAGATGTGCTTGACACTGGACCAGTCTCTTTGCCTCTTTGAACCTGTTTCCTCATTTGTCATGAAAGTTGAGAGTAGATCTTAGGAGATGCTCAAGAATTATTGGCTCAATTTGAATCTGAACTGGTTTTGTCGTTCCTATATTCTTACCACTGTCCTTGTGCTACTGAAATAACTTAAGAAGTACAAGACCTTAAAGTCTAGTTGGGGAGAGAAATCTAAGACATATGGAATAATCTGATACAGTGTATAATTTATTTCTATAATTAAATATAATATATGCATTCTATATATATTCTCTGTGTTACAGAAGTTCAGGAAAATGGAAGATCTGTGTGGCCTGAAATATTCAGGAAATGTCTCCCATGGAAGATGGGACCCAGGTTGACACTTAGAGAAAGGGCAGAATTTGGGTAAGCCACACACAGAAACACATTTTGGTGGGACAGGACTTTAGGTGGTTCTGGAGGATAATGGATGTGTACAGAAAGAGACTGGTAATTGCATTTGATTCATACTAGGCAGAAATGAGAATGAACACTATGCAGATAAAGTAGGGATAAATATCTGAATGTCTGTCACTCTAATCTTAGAGATCTAAACTCTGCCAAATGGAAAACAAGATATGTGACGCATAAAGATTAGAGCAGCAACAGATTACAAAAAAAAAAAAAAAAAGTGAGATTTGCAGATGACATAGTTTCTAAACTCACCACTCAGAAGCTACCTGGCTGGGAGCCATTCATTTAACCTCTGCTTTAATTTTCCTATCTGTAAAATGAACATAATAATCCTCACTGCATCGTGTTTACAGAAGAACCAAATGCACTACCATATGCTTGAAAGTGTTTCATAAACAGAAGGGTGTTCTCTGGATATTAGAGCTCTTTGTCATTAATCTATTATTCTTTTGCTTCTCAAATAAGGTTACCATAAGGTCTGATCTAACAAGTGGCATTGTCTCACTAATACCTATTACATTTATATTCAGAAGATTGCTTAAGACTTTTAAAAAAAATACCGTATTTCTGTGCAACACTTAATTTTCAAAGTGCTGATCAATTCCTCATTGTATTTGACCCTCAACCACCAACACCACATAACATTTAAGACAGAATGATTATCCTAATTTTTAGAAGGACAAACAGATTCAGAGAGGTAATTCAAATGAAACTGCACCTGAATAAAGGTTTCTGGCTCTCTCATGTGGTTATTTGCCTAAAATATTGTGTGTCCTCCTTCTTCCTTCTTAAGTTTAATTTCCCCTGATACCCATTCTTGTCTTTTCACAAAGTAGGAATACTTAGCTACATTTCTCTACATATCACACAGCTGGCTGTGGTTATGGACTCAGTAATGGCCAATGAGATGTTGTTAGAAAAGTCTCTGTACATTTGAAGACTCTTTCCTTAAAGATAGCTTCTAGGTTTCCTTTACCCTCTTCTCATCCCTCTGCCTTTTTGCTGTTTGGACTGGCATGAGGGGCGGGGGGATGGAGGCTGGATAGTCTGAGACCATGAAAACAAGGGCTACCCCCAAGGGAGTAGTGGCAGGTGAGCTGGAAGGAGTTGGGTCTCTGAGGATGTTGTGGGGCAATGGCACCAGGCCAGCCTTCAATTACCTAGGTCTGGTTTTTATGTGAGAAAAATAAGGCCTTGTTATTTTAGTCTGTGTAATGCAGAGCCAACCTTAATCCCCACTGATAGAGACTGCTAAAGAAAGCAGAGCTAATATGCAAGGTACCGACTAAATGTAAGGTGCTTTTACATGGTAAATAAATGCAACTACTAGAAAGTATCAAATTCAATGACAATTCTTATGAGAAAGAACAATGAAATCCAAAATTGTGCAAATCGTCTTTCCAACCTAATTTCCCAGGACAAATGCTAAGAACACTGGTCCATTTAGCTGAAACAGTCATAACAAGGCAACTCCAAAGCTGTTCATACCTGAGGAGAGTGTGAAAATTACTAAAGCCAGGCAGGGACAAAGGGAAGAAGCTGTGAAAGTCATACATGAACCAGAAAGTGATAATGGCTTTTAGATGGTATGCTTTGGGAGACTTAGCAAGTCCACTAAAAAAAAAATAATAATAAAATCAGTAAACATTTTGGAATGAAACTTTTTCATGGTAAAAGTTAAAAACTACTCTCTCTGCATCTGCCTCCTAAGATCATTAAAAGTGGCAAGTGATGTACCCTTATCTATTATTTATCCTCATTATAGCACACGGGTTCTAGCTCACAGAAGTCCTTTGCTGTGCACAAGAATTCCTCCCATGTCTCCAGTCTTCCCCTCCACCCTCAAAGCCTCAGGCCTTACTCATAGTAATAAGTGGGCCACTCTGTTATTCAAGCCCCTTACATCTCATCATGCCATTTCCCTGCTTACAACCTCTAGGCACTACACAAAGTCTCCACCCTGACCCTCAGCACCCTTTGCAATCTGGCTTCAAATAGCGTTTGGAAGCTGATCATCTGCTACTCACTCCAGTCACCATAAGCAGCTTTATAGAATGTCCCCATTTCCTAACTTCCCCTTGATCTTTAATGAGGCTAAAGTTTCTTTTCTTTTGTTCTCTCTTTTTGAAAAAGCTGTCTTCACTATTCAACCACACAATGAGTTTTACCCAAACCCTTATGAGATGGCTTTTCCTTTTCCATCATTGTGTAATTCATCAGTATATCTCTGTAATAGCATTTGGGACATGGTATTATAGTCATTTATTTACACATCTATCTCCATCCATAAAATGAAAACTTCTGAGGGTATCTCTGTAATTTCTACCCCAGTTATATGTACATATCTTACATTTAATAAATGTTATAAATATTACTGATCATAAGAGTCATGAAAAGACACATTACCAGAATCTGTGGTTTTCTTATTGGAATAAAGTACTTTTTTTTTAAGACAAAAGGAAGTTAAAAACTTAAAACATCTCAGCCTGATAGTAGAAGTTATATACACATATTTCTGCTATATGATACTATTCTTTCTCATATATTTATTTACTGCTTCTAGTAATTTAATCACCCTCTTCCTACTTTTAACCCCATATTTTTGCTTACTACATCCTTTCTCTCTGACTGGAATGCTCTTCTCCCCATATCTTCATACTGAAATCACTGTCATGCTTGAAATGACACACCAAATACCAAGGGCTTTCTCTCACTCCTAAACTGTCCTTGTCCTGAATCTAGACTAGACTATTTTCACAATTTATAATTTTCTTCATTTAAAAAAAAAATGTTTCTGTACTAACCACAACTAGATTGTAAGCTCTCCAAGCAAATAATCACATCTAAACCACACTTGTATAAAATGGAGAAAAGGAGAGAGTGGAAGAGGAAGAAAAAAAAAAAAAGGACAGAGAGACAGAAACAGAAAGGGAAAGCTTAAGAGAATAAACAGAGTCGTATATATTTTATTTACATTCAGTATCATAGTAAACATTTGCTGAAGACTACCATTATATGCCAAAGAGAGTCCAAGCATCAAATCTGATATTTGGGTATTTTTTTCAATCTTGTCCTTTCCAAAAGGAATATCTCATTCTAAACCTTTATGTAAATCTAACTCTTATATTTTGAAAAGTAAAATAATGGAGTTGGTATTCTTGGGATCCATACAAAATTCAATCACCAAACCACACCAAAAA